ATAATAATCTCTGAATTTTAGAAGCAGTTTCACACCAACATATTTTACTAAACTTTTGTCCCATTATTCATTTTGTATTACACTGTTATTGTAGCAAAATTATTATACTCCTTCAGGAAGTGCCTTGGGCTGCACCAGAAGTGCTACAAACACTTGTTTTTCATTCAGTAGCTTGCTCAGTTACTCCAACAATCACACMATCCCCTAAAGTGATAAAGAGTGCTCCCATCTTACTTTTCTTTCTGTTCAACACTCTAATGATTACGCTCAATTTCTTCCAGATTTTCTTGTCTGTTTTTCCTCTGCTTCTATGCCTATTTGCTTTTTTATCACTTTGAGTTTGCCTGGTTCTTATTGTTAGGTATACTYGTGCACAGGCATGATTATTAAAGTAGCTTGAGCTGACTTGCTGTATGAGCTGCAGCAATCAGGCAGCTGAGGAATGAAAGCCAACGCTGGCAGTGCCTCCACTCATGGTATTTTTAGAAGAATGGAGACAACAGCTGTTTAATATATTTGTAAATGTCTGCACAGGGGTGCTCTGCATGGGTCGAAGCATACTGTTTTGTGTGTTTTCTCATGTCTCCCGCGCRTGTTTGTAAAAGTCATCAACACATTTTATTTGCATAAGTAGGGCGGCCATATTTCATTACAATAAATAAAAACAACTCCAGCAGCTGTGTAGTCTCACAGAGCCTGGCAGGTTGAGCATCAACTGCCTTACAGGRGGTTAATGAAGCACTGAAAAAAAAAGAACAATCATTCTTGTTCATTTCGCTAAGATAAGTTTCAGACATTAACAAACTACATACATGTTATTTAGTCACTTTGACTCTGAAGAGCTAAACTGAGAACAAAACTAGTTTTTGGATCAAATTCATTATTGGAAATATAAATAATCTAGTATGCATCCACCAAAAATAACATTTCCACACACTGTCAAAATAGGGGTACAGAAGGAGCTCATTTCAGTAGATTTTGAGCACATTTTTGCCCCCTGAAGTACAGTCTGGACGTATGTACCCCCATTAGACTTATAACTGGACATTAAGACACATATTTGTACTTTTCGAAGGCCTGCAAGGTCCATTTATGTTGCCAAGTAGTTAATGGTACATAAATACTCTTTATTGATTATTTTATGGCATAAATTTATAAGATGGAAATCAAGGAAAAAACAAAACAAAGAAAAAATACAATGTAATTTGAAGGTAACAGGTTCAAAGATCTATTAAACGTTTGAGTGGCTATGGCTAAGTACTCTTGAGCAATAAATAAAGACTTAGAAGTGGATTTGAGTAGTTAGTATTTTTGATATAGAACATATTTAAATATAGTTTAGGCCTACATTATTTTGTAAAATTCTACATGGGCAAAGGACTTCTTTCGTTTGCGTCATAAAAAACCTTTGCTACCAGGGGTTGGATCTTTTTTTTTCTTCCTCACTTTAACTTGCTTGGTTGGTTGAGTCACCTGTGAAAGATGTACAGCCAACACTGACTGGCTGTCTGTTGAATAGCATGGAACAAGGTCAGCTGGCTAAATAGAGTTTTTTATTTTATTTATTTATTTTTTCTGGCTTGCCGCTTGTGGAGTGAAATTTTGGTGCCTTTGCAGGCCTTTCAACCTCTCAAGAAAAAAAAAAATCAAAAGTGTCAGAAGCAGAATAACAGATTCAGAGGTAAGTTGTAAATGAAAACAATATACCATTAAAATCAGCCATAAGCCAAAATTAGCATTATCACCAACCCAAGCTAAAACACTAACTTTTTGTGCTAGCATTCAGCCAACTTAAAATTGGGTCTTTGACATTCCATGCAATGTTTCCTTTTTTCTTTCAATCATGATTGGGAAGTAACTATATCATGTCTTATGAAAAGCACTTTTGTAAATTTTCCCTGCATTTGAAAAAGTGGTGGTGTAGCAGCAGTGAATATTTTCTCACCTAACTGAATTTTCTCTTACCTGAGCAGGTGAGTAGAGTCGACATCGATGGTGTGTGTGTCCCTCATGGACCACACTGCCTCCTCCTCCTCCATCTCTCAAAGGTGCCATTACCGTGCCACTCAGACCTCCGACCACCCCCACTGTGATGGCACCAGGCGTTGTGCCGCCCATGCCTACGCCTGTAGCAGCACCACCTGTGGCCCCAGCAATGGCTCCAATGCCCCCCACCATACAGCAGAGGCCTCCCTGGGCCAGTTCTAACTCAATTTCTGCATCCATTTCAGCATCCTCCTGAGCTTCTTTGTTGGAATCATCCAGATGCTTCATAAGCACAGCAACCACCACGTTTATCAGGACAAACTGAGCTGTGAGCACGAAGGACACAAAATACAGAGGAGAGATGAACTGGAGTCCGGCGTGGCAGCCATAGTCGCTGCCTGGACGATCCTGTGGGCACTCCCTCAGTGTGTCCTGATTTGAGAAAGGACAAAAAGAAGAAGGGATTAAATAAGAGCATGAGAAACGGTTTTAAACACCATCATTTAAAGTGATACCAGCAGTTAAAGTTAAGTTTAGTTGTGATTAGCAGTAGGAAAGAAGCTGTTAAAGTGAGACATGGGTTCTTGGATTTGCCTGAACAGAGCTGATATTTGACACAGACTATATTGATATTACGGATGTACGTTTTGAAATTTATTCTTAATTTTTTTCTAATTTATTTTTTGACACCAACATCACTTAAGCTTTTAGCTCATGACTTTTAGCTTTCTTACACCTAATTATCATCTGATCAATGGATTTCAGCTGAAGAGGATCAATGTCAAATGTGATTCATGGCTGCTTTTGGTTATTCGACTGATGTTTGAATAGTACAAAAATGCATAGAGCTCAATGTGCTCCTTCACTCCAGAAAAAGGAGCTTTGAGTAACTCAGACTGATTGGCTGTCTTTCCAAGAAATTCTATTTGCTTCACTATTAAGGAGAAAAATTATATCCAATCACCTAAACAAATGTAGATTATGAAAATATAAATAAATAAAAAGAATATCAAACCAAACGTACCTTCATGATACCATTCCAGTTGTCTCCTGTTGATACTTGGAACAGTGTAAGAAAAGCCATTCCAAAGTTTTCAAATGTAGCATGGCGACTCATTCCCTCACAGGGATAGTCAGCATTACACACTGTCAAGTATAATAAGAATGGAAAATGCAAAAGGTAAGTAAGAGTTTAGAGATTGTTTCATCAATATACAACTTTACATCACAAAGACAGTCTTCACACAATCGTATTTTAAAATAATGACTCTGTGGCAAAATTTTCTTTCTATAAAACATCTCATCTTCTAATTTTGGTGATATGGCAGTGAATGACCATTCAAATAAAAAAACAAAACTTCATGGCAGGTTGATAGCCGAAAAGGTGGTTTCTAAGATTAAATGTATAAATACAAAATGATGCTGGACCTACCTAACTCCCCAAAGAGCTCCACTCCCAAAGCAGCATAGATAAAAAACAGCAACATGAAGAGTAGACCCAAGTTTCCTACCTAAAACACGACAAAGGATAAACTGATTATTAGACAAAACAAAACAAAAGCAAAGAAAAGGAAAACAAAAAAGCCTTGAAGCAACACCCTGAAAAAAAATCGTTTGTGCAACAGGCAATAAAAACAATGGTTTCAGTTGCTAAGAAAACAAAACAAAAAATAAATAAATAAAAAAACACGGAAATATGTTATATACTGTATGTTAAAAGTTTACAATCCATGAACAATTAACAAACATTTAACAACCATTTTTTTCTTATCAGAACAGAGAAATGTTCATATTACTGTTTTCATTTAAAAACAAGACACATTCTTTAATCATTTAAAGTATTGAATTATGCTGAATGCTCTATTTTCAAAAGACTTAAATCTTTTTAAATGGGAATGTGCAAAGTGAATGGGTAACGAACTTCCTGGGGAGCAACAGCAGGCACTAGCAACACACCATTAGCTAAGTCACCTCAAAAGGAACAGCCAGTGGGGTGCTTTTGACTGACCAACATACTGTATTTTATAAAGGGTCTTTTGTATGGGAAAAAATGGACATTCTTTTTTGGACAAAAATATGACAGAAATCAAAAAAAGAATAAATGGAGGAGAAAGCAAAATAATCCCCCCCTTCTCCACACACACACACACACACACACACACACACACACACACACACACA